GACGAAGAAGTCAAAATAGCCACGGGCGGAGCAGTAGCGAAACAGTAGGCACGGGCAACTGAGGTTCCATTGGAGTAGACACAGGAAAAGAGGCAAGAGGCGCTTCCTCAGAAATAAAGCCAAGATTTTCATCATCAAATCCACGAGAAAAAAGGTGTTCAGTAGAGTCACGGGGTGCTGCAGGCGTCTCTTCATCAGAACATACTAAAGTAGCACTTTCAGGCTCGAACATAGAAATAGGACGAGGAGGAGGAGTAGCTTAGTCATCTGAAATGACCCGTCTTCTAGCCCGTGGCTTACGAACCAAAGAGCCTTCATCCCTCTCCTCTTCATCTTCGAATCCTGTGGCTTATCAGCTTTTCTTTTTGATGAAAAACTCAAGATTATTTCTTGAGCTTTTGCTAGAGAGAGCGTTGAAGCAGTAATTGATTCAGCACTCGCACCCCGGATGGGAAACCCTAATAAAGAAAAAGGTTAACAAGTTCTAAGATAAGAACAAAAATAAAGAAGAGAGTGAAAGAGAAAGTTACCGTGAGTCTTAACTTTCCATCCAAATCTGTTTGAAAGGTATTTCCAGGGCCTTACTTCCATAGGAGAAACTGTTAACAATTTTTCTAGCCAACCATGGAAATCAGTAATCTCCTCAACGGTTCCCATGGTTGCTGAAAAAGAAAAGTAAAACAGTTACGAGAAGTACAAGCTCTTCACAAAAAAGAGGTGAAATAAAGATTAAAAGAAAAAAACTTACGTGCAAAGTTCCATTTCTCAGGGAAGGGCATGTTTGCTTCACCTACTAATCCACTTGTGGGAGCGACAACGAATCGGGCGTACCAGCCACAATCTTTATCATCCTCAGGGCTAACCAAAACTCTCTTACTTCTTGCCACGAGAGTAAAAACCCCGTGATGAAATAATTTGGGAGAGTAAAGATGAATCAGATGGTAAAAGGCTAAGGGTAACTGAGCCAAATTTGCCAAATACCTATGGCACACCACAGCCCTCCATACGATAGAGCCAATCTGTCCTAAACACACATCAATGAAACGGCAAAATTCAATGATAACTGGGTCAATAGGAGGCCTAAAACCTAATGTGAAGGGATATGTATACACAAAAGAAAAACCAGCTTTAAAGGAAGTGATCCTTTGATTCTCATTAGGAACCAAAATTGGGAAGTCAAATTTCCAATGGCAGTCTCTACGCACAACAAAAATCAACCTTCAGTAATCTCGGAATGGCAAATATCAGCACGATCATGAGAAGTCATAGAAGTGACTTGATTCCTAATCGATTCCCTATTAGAATAGAAGGAAAGTTCAGCAGGGATGATCTCATCAACAGAAGGTTCACGAATTGGTTCACTAGAATCTTTATTTCTAACGGAAGATCTATGTGAAAACGAGGCCCTAGTTCTAGAAGATGATGGAGGAGTAGAACTAGGTTGAGAAGAAGAGCCACGTAAGGATACTGACCCTAAACTACGCAACCTACCACCTCTCCTACTTCTAGTAGGAGCAGAAAAAGGGGGAAGTTCGTCTACAATGAGAACCTTTCGAGGATCAGGATTTGAAGAAGACATAGTTGTATGAAGAAGTAGAACGTATTGAAGAACATGATGTGGATAAAGAGCACTGAAGAAATTTTTTTCGTGAAAGTAAAGACAAATGATGTATTTATATGCAGAAGCAACCGTCATGCAAAAAAGGTAATGATGGAAACGTCATCATGAAAACTGTCACTTCGTGATTGATGCAGCCGTAAAAAAGCCCTAGAATCCGCTGAAGAGTTGCAAAGCCAATCGATGAGCACCACGTGTCACATGCATTAAATGGAAGTAACATGCGACGCGTCAGTTCAGAAGAAGGTATAATGGTATGTGAGAAACGGCGGCAAAAATTCTCGCTTTAAATGAGATCCACTTCCCAAATATTTAATTGCTGAATAATTGGCAAGTGGGGAGACTATCTGTATTGGGAAAATAAATATTACACGTGGAATTAATTATGTGGCTGACATGGCGAGACACGTGAATCATTAGAAAAGTGACAGCTGGAAAAGAGTACTTAAAAAGACGTGAGTCTTAATAGGTACGAGCAAAACGTCTCAGAGACGAGAAGAAACGGTTGCTCGAGTCTCTTTAGTAATTTGAAGAGACACCAATGGAATGAACCAAGACAAGAAAAAGGATAGATTCTTTGGTATACAATTAATGAGCATGAATGATTACGATCTTCACGAAACAGTTACGATTACCAATTATAACGTTCCATTAATGTCATTAATGCTCATAATGACTTGGTCATAAAGGGGGAAAAGACGTTGTACTTAGAGATGACTATATAAGGAATAGAAATGTCATTTTTATGGACACGTTATGATTATTATTGGAATACTATTATTTTACTTTTGCTTTATACTGATTACTTTGCTATTTCATATTCTAATTTTCCGTTCTTATTGCAAAAATATTTCTTTTCTTGATTATCAATAACCTGAGTACTTCTAAAAATAGGCTTTGACCGAAATTCCTATTTTTTGGTTAAACAATGATATAAATATTTGTGTGACTATAAATCATCTCATTAAGAGTAAATGAGAAGTTGAAAGCTAAATTATTTTTAAATATAGAAAAGATCTTATTGGGACAGATAGAAAGAAAGTGCATCAAATACATTGGGATTTAGCTTCCTCTTTCTCATTTTATGTAATGTTGTTTGACTTGAAACAAAATTTAAGAAAGAAAATTTTTGAAACTTTTGATTTAAAACATGACATAAATATTTGTGTGGCTATAATTCACCTCATTAAGGTAAAATAAGAAGTTTTAAGATAATTTTTTTTTAAAATATAAAAATGTAACATTATTTTTGGGACATATAAAATAAAGGGAAACTTACACAAATGTCCCAAATAAATCTCAACTTACCAACCTCTAGCCATTAGTCATAGACTTACCAAAACTAGCCAACAAAAATTGTAAACCAAATAATAGGGTTCTTTCTCTCAAAGAATCACATGCAAAAATCACCTTCCATATTTTTAAGCGTGATTAGCAACATTAGATACAAGACGGAAAGGAAATTTCATGGACGGGGTAGCAAATAAGGTGATGAAATACAAAAATCTATACAATATTCCAAAAATCTAAACAAAAAAAGAACTTTTTCAATGGGTATAGTTGAAATTCATTGAAAATATATAGATAAGTCAATACACAAAATTTGAAAAAGATTGGAGGTGATTTGGACTGGTTTTGTATCAAAATTCGTAATTAAATCGAGTTCAAAAAAGTCTTCTGCGACACATGTATCAAACATGTATCACACACACAGGTATACATGGATATACATGTGATACACAATTGATACAAATATGATACATATGTGATACACAAATGATACACAATGTGATACACATATCATTTTTTTTTCATGTTCAGCTTTTACTTCGAATTTTCAATTCAAACCACCTCAAAACTTCACCAAATCATCCCAAAACTGAGATTCAAGCTCCTTAAGTTGTGCCCAATCTATTCTAATAACACCCACTCAAAACAAAGCAAAAATTTGATATTTTTTTGCTACAAATAGCTAATTGGCTAATTTGGCTAATATTAGTAATATTTTATTAATTGGCCAATTTTTGTAATGAGCTACTTATAAATGGACATAGCTGGTAATTTCCCTAAAATAAATGCATCACATAAATTGGACAAGTGGAGTACAAGGATACTTGTCCTCGAATTCAATGAAAATTAAGCAGTGGAAATTCTCTCCTACATTACTCTCTCCGGTCCACAATAAGTGACCAATTTATTTTTTTATTTTGGTCCAAAATAAGTGTCAATTTATATAATCAAGAAAAAATTTAATTTGTTTTTCCAAAATTACCCTTATGTACATATCACTAAAAAGTCTTTTATTCTTCACATTAACTATGCTGCAACATTCAATTAAGGGTAGTTTAATCACACTAACTATTTTTGTCTAGAATTTAGTATTTCCTTAATGGATGTGCCCAAGGCAAATTGGTCACCGTAGACCGGAGGGATTATCTCTTGCCTGCTATATTGCACCGGGAAGGAACCAAGGAAGACATGATCGAAAGCAAAACCAAGCAATTAATGTAATGTAATATAAAGTACTACTTCAAGTAGTTATTGCAAATGGAGAAAATCGTAGATATTACTAGGAGCGGCAAACGGGCGGGTCGGAACGGATATGGTAAGAGTTGAAAATGGGTAATGGAAAAAACGGATCAATTATCCAACCCGACCCATATTTAATACGGATAAAAAACGGGTTAACCGGCGGATAATATGGGTTACCCATATTATCCATGACTTCTTGTATATGATCACTTTTGGGAGAATTCTTAGTCTCTCTAACTTAAGGAACCCCTAATTTGAGGCTTTACAAATGTAAAAGTTAGACCCATTGGTTATCAATTGGTTACTCATTGGTTATCCATTTTATAAATGGATAATATGGTTCTTATTCATATTTGACCCGTTTTTAAAAAGTTCATTAACCAACCAATTTTTTAGTGGATAATATGGGTGGTTAACTCTTTTCTTTGAACCATTTTGCCACCCGAGATATTACGAAAGTTGCTTTGACACAAGGAGCTCATGAATATAGTCGTGAAACATCTTGAGAAAATGTTAGCAGTGATTCTTTAATTTTCAGTTGACTTTGGAAGTCTTTTAATTACTCTAATTTACAGCATTTTACATCGCTTTTTCACACACAAAATTTTTTCCACTTAAGTTTAGGTAAACTTATAATAATATTGTTAAAATGTAGTAAAAAACAACCAATTTCATAATCAGGCTTGTACAGTCTCTTGGACGGTTGGTTTCCCATTTATGGAGAAATCAAGAATGGTCGAAAATAGTCACATCTGGGACCATAAAGATAATAGGACAGCCCCACCTAACATTCTATCATCTTTTTCACCTTCACATAATCATGTTGTATTCTCCTTCAGCTATTGCCTTTTGCTTTTATTTATTACTACTCAACTTTTGCTTCTCCACTGTTTCAGAAATACAAAAAAAAATAATAAGTCCTATAAATATATTTAACACCTTCTGTTAAAGATAGGACTGAGATCTTGCTATTTCCCAAGTTTGTTGGAAAGGCATATATATAGATATGGAGCAGTGTAACAAACCTAGTTCCTTATCAAAAGCTGACAGAAAAACTATTGAGAAAAACAGAAGAAATCAATTGAAAGCTCTTTATTCCGAGCTCAATTCTCTTGTGCCTCATCAACAACATTCTAGGGTTCTTTTCTTTTCTCCTCTATTTTTAATTTCCTCTGATGTTTATCTTCTATTAATTTCAACCACATTTTCATGTCTTATCCCCTTCCCAAAACCCCTCTGATTTGGCTCACGTTTGAAATCACATTGAGATCTAGTAGAATCTTCAAGTATTAATCGAAACATGTCTAACCCTTAAATATGATAAATCTTTGTAAGTCGTGCTTTTTTTTAATTAATAAAAATTAAAAATATGAAATTTCACTTGTTCACTAGCATGTTGCATTGACTTCCTTAAGGTAATTAATTATTTGAGCTAAGGGTACATGGACCAGGTTGGTTCGGTTTTGTCGGGATTTTCGGGTTTTTTGTTACTTAAATATTATTTCAATCTTACTTTGTTAAATTTTTGATAAGTAAATATATATTTAGTAAAAATATAAAAAATTGATAAACATATTATCTATTAAAATATTCTTTATGAGAGAATTTTCTTAATAACAGATAGTAATAGTTATTTTTTTAGTAGTCTGACAATAATTTTTCAAGGTTAACCGAATTTAGTAATTAAACATAAAAATTAATATGATACCTAAATAAAATTAATCACTTCACATTCGAAAAAAGATGTGAGAATTTAATAGATCTTAACATATGATATGAATATGGAAGAACAAAGAGATTGACGCATTTCAGTAACACTTGATGAGAAAGTGATCATACAACCCATTATTTAAGGTTAATAAATATGGAGCACTTCATATAATATTAAATATTACATCCCGCAAGAGAATCCCAAATGTGATATTTTTTAAAGAAAATTTTATATAAAATCTTGAAAGTATATATAAAAATTATATATTTATATGTCGGTTTGGTTCGGTTTTTTTTTACTCAATACCAAACCAAATCAAACCAAACCTAATCGGGTTTTTTCATCTGTTTGGTATGACTTTTCGGTTTGGTGCGATTTTTTGATTTGGTTTGTACAATCCTAATCTAAGCTTTGCAGGAAGGTTTATCGTTGCCTGATCAACTGGAAGAAGCAGCGAACTACATTAAGAAACTGCAGATAAATTTGGAAAGAATGAGACAGAGAAAAGAAAGCTTAACAGTTGATGAAAATTCAAGTTCAATTAGGTCAAGCAGTGGGAGAAAGGAAACACAGCCATTGTTGCCACATCTTGAAATATATCATGTGGATTCATCTCTAGACGTTGTTCTAATTACTCGTATGGATTATCAGTTCATATTCAACGATATTATACGTATGCTTCACGAAGAAAACGTAGAAGTTGTCAGTGCTAGTTATACTCTCATTGGTGACACCATCTTCCATTCCATACATTCAAAGGTAGTAAGTAAACTGCGTTCAATTAAACTCATTGTTTTGGATCGAATTATTTATATTTATGCACATAAAAAATGAAAAAATATATATTTATATGAAAAATTTACACTTCTATAAATTAATGACTTTAAATTCTAGATTCGCCTTTACCGTAGATTTGTTGAGGTTGTGATATGATATATGATATAGATATGTTTTTTGTTGATACAATATGTAGGTGGGAGAATGTGCAACAGGATACGGAGCTACAAGAATCTCAGACAGATTAAAGAAGATTGTGGGTTCAGGATCAGGTGCTAGCTAGCAAGCAACTAAAGTACTACTGCTCTTATTTCTATTGGCATGTGTGCTAAATTATTTCCACTATCTGTACTCGGAGCATTATTATTGAATTTGGACTCTTGGCTTTTCCAGTTTTCAATCTTTAATTGATTGATTGGTCGTGGCCTCTTGGGTTTGACTTGGCATGTCAGGTAATCACACACATCACATGAGCTTGGATATTAGGATGAAATAACATTCAAATAGGGACGTTTCATGTAACGACCTAAAGGGTCATCACTTGTTTTCTTACTTATTCCGTGCTTTCGAGACCTTAAAAACCTCATTTGTAGTCGCTTTGATTTGCGTGCGCAGCCCGGGCGCGTAGCCGGAAAGCTTAAATATGAAATTCTGTGATAAATGCTAAAATTTGATATTAAAATGAGTAAATTTGACTCCGGTCAATATTTTGGGTAAACAGACCCAGACCCGTAATTTGACGGTCTCGGAGGGTCCGTAGGAAAATATGGGACTTGGACGTATGCCCGGAATCGAATTCCGAGGTCCCAAGCCCGAGAAATGAATTTTTGAGTAAAATTATTTTTCTGAAATTTATGAAGAAAATTGAAATGAAAATTGGTTAGAACGTGTTGGTATCGGGCCCGTATTTTGGTTCCGGCGCCCGGTACAGGTCTTATATGTGATTTAAGATATTTCTGTAAAGTTTGGTTGAAATCGGACATCGTTTGACGTGTTTCGGACTATAAGTTCTAAATTTGAAAGTTAATGAAGTTTGAGGAAAAACTTGTGATTTTGAGGTTTGATCCGTTGTTTTGATGTTATTTTGGCGACTTGATCGCACGGTTAAGTTCGTAGGATGTTGTTGAGTTAGTTCATGTGATTGGTTAGGAGCCCCGAGGGCTCAGGTGTGATTCGGATGTGTTACGGGATGGTTTTAGCCTCAAAAAATGTTGCAGAAATAGTTGTTGTTGGTTGCCCAGTTATTCCTTCTATGCAATCGCACAAGAGGTGTCGCGATCGCATAGAGCAAACCTAGGGGGTTCAGAAATCCTTCTATGTGATCGCATTCTACTCTCCGCGATCGCATTGTATAAAACCAGCCTTCCTTTTTTTTCCTATATGCGATCGCAACCTTACATCCGCGATCGCAGTGCACAACAGACATTACCCTATGCGATCGCAATCCCTTTCCCACGATCGCGTAGAACATTTTTCGCCCAGTTATATTTAATTTTCAGAACAGTAGCTACGGGATTTTCACTAAGTTTTCACGAACTCCTTCTTCTCCAAGGTCTTTAGGCGTCCATTGAAGCATTTCTTCACCAAAGTTCTTGGGTAAGCATTGTTTAACTCGTTTTCTTCATTTTCCATCATCATCTAATGAATTCCTAAGCCTAAAACATGTAATCTAGGGTAGAAATTTGGGGAAATGGGTAGAGTTAGGGCTTTTTGAATTTTCTTGATTTAGACCTCGTTTAGGGGTCGAATTTGAGAACAAATTATATATTCGGGCTCGTGGGTGAATGGGTGACATGGT